GAGGTTAAATGTGGAAAGCTTGGTGTGTCATGTCAAGATAAAGAAGCTTAAGAATGATTTCGTGGTTGTGGCTGAAATCTGTGTGAAAATCGATGAAACTGGTAGGTCATGTTGCACCAAGGTATGATTACACTCAGTGGTGATAAAAATGAGGTTAAAAAGTTTGTTGTTTGCCCAGCTTCATTTCTGGTAGGCTTTCAATACATACTACATAATGCTGATTTTTTTTTTTTTTTTTTTTTTTTTTTTTTTTTTTTGTTCTTCTTATTATTTTTGTTTTTTGTTTTCTTGCAGGGGTTGCAGGGTTGCACATAACTTTGCAATGTCAGAGAGGGGATGAGCCTTTGTTTTCTTATTAGGGAGTTGTAACATACATGCAAATTTTATGTCTAATCATGGAGTTGTAAAACATTGTCAGTCTAGTTGTCACCTTTATTTTGATCTCTAATGTCTTTGATTAACTATTGCATGTTTTCATTTTTCAGTATTTCTTGTGTTTTTCAAACTTGAGTGTAAATCGTAGATGGATGTACAACATGATAAAAAATGGTTCGATGAATTCGTAGAAGGTTTGGAAACATTTGTGGGCTTTGCTTGTAATCAAGTCAAATGGATGGATGAGGATAAAATTAGATGTCCGTTTAATCATCGTAAGTGTCTGAACCGCAATTTTCTTCAACCCGACGAAGTTAAATATTACCTTGCAAGGTATGACTTTGTACCCAGTTATTGCATTTGGGACAGACATGGCGAGATACATGCCGAAGTGAACAACTCAAATTTGTATTGCACTGAACGTGCCGAACAGACGATGGATTACCACACGATGGTAATGGATACTACTGGTCCTGAGTTCGAACCGATGTTAGGTCTGCCTGATGTAGAGGAACCTCCAAATCCCGATTCGAAAAGGCTAGGACACGAAGCTTTCCAGACAATTGTGCAATAATAAATGAAATTATGGAATAAGTATATTATATTTGTTATTGGGTTAGGTGGGTTGGGCTCCTCGCTAAAGTATAAAAATCTAAATCATGTTAATATTATATAGTGGTCCACCTGGGCTATAGCCACCTTAGCTCTAAGATCCACAAATATTTAACCACAGTAAGATTCACAAACTAAATCTAACATTAGATTTTCAACCTTTTTGAAACAAAATCTTATTATTCTAAATTAAAATTAATATGCGATGAATCAAAATATTAACACTAGAACACATTAATATTAATTTATAATAATAAGATTTTGTTAAAAAAAGTTGAAAATCTGATGCTAGATTTACGTTTATGAAACTTAGTGTGGTTAAAGATTTTACAAACTTACTGTGGTTAAATATTTGCGGATCTTTGATCGATTTAGAGCTAATGTTACTTGGGCTAGGTGGGCCTCTATATCAACCATGTGTTTAATATTAACATGATTTAGATTTTTATACTTTAGCCCAGGAGCCCAACCAACCTAGCCCAAGAACAAATAAAATATACTTATTCCATAATTCCATTTATTATTGCACAATTGTCTGGAAAGCTTCGTGTCCTAACCTTGTCCGCCCAACTTACATTGTGGTGAGATTTTTTTGAATTATTTTAACATCAATTAATTATATTCATAAGAAGTGAGTTAATTTTAATGGCCTGAGTTAATTTATGGAATCCGCCCCTGATTAGTTTTTTGTGAATTAGCAGTGCACATGATGAGGATAAAAAACTTTCATTTAAATATTATTAAAAGTTTTCAAATTTCTGCAATATTGTTGTTAATTGGCAAATAGGCATAAAGTTATGAATTTATACCATCGGATGTGCTTTTTTGTCTTCTGTTTAGAGTAAATTTTGGTTTTTGAAAATTTTTGTACTGGACTAGCTTAAATGAGTTAACATTTTGCAGTTACAATATAATGATTATTCTGGATTGATATATGCATGAAGAATTTGGTTATTTGACAAATGTTGAATGTCCGATAAACTACTTCATACTCATTTTTTTTTTTAAGTTGTTGGAGCACCGGTTTAAAATCATTCTCAATCCAAAATGAGTATGTTTTATTCTTGTTAGTCTCAAGTTCTCTCTCAAGATGATGGTTTTTTTTATTCTTTTGGGTGGTTGGAACATTGGTATCAGGTGACGCGGGGAGCAAAGAAAGGGCTGGTATTGCCTGCCAGGAAAGGCTTAAGGGGCATCCGATGCTTCAGATACCAAAGGAAAAAGGAGTGGTTGTGTCCCTGAAAGAAAGGAGAAAGCAGAAAGAAAGGTAACATTCATGGAAAGAAAAAAATTGTTTGTGTCCCAGTAATGCATTTGGAGAACATATCCCAGTAAATTTAAGACCTCAGTTAGAGATGACCATGCTCATGCAATAATAATCTCATAAAGCCAACATAATTAACAATAATAATCTCATAAAGCCATTCTGTTTGAGATGCTAAAACTTGGAAAAAAAAAAAATGAACAGCCAACATATATCTCTGAATCCTTCCTGCCCAAGTCACCTTAGGAACTGGTAATGTAAATAAAAAAGTGAACTTTCCCACAAAATTTAGAAGATGGACATCTAATATAAATTAGATATACAGATCACAATGGTTGCAATTATAAGGTTCACAGATTCCTCTAAATAAGACATATACTTGCAATTGCAATACAACATTTGTGTACTTGAGTGATAAGTTATGCATTCTGAAATAATGCAACCAAACTCCATTCTCTCTCCAGAGTTCATTAGCAACTCAGAGTCTCTGAGTTTCTTGAGTTCAACTTCTATCCTTGGTCGGTCAGGACAAATAAGTATTTCACTAAAGATAGGTTATTTTTTGTCAAATCGAACATTTTAAAGAGCCTTGTGATTTATGGCCATGAATTCAGGATCAACTTTCTCAACCTTTCAAACCCAGTACCCTCAGATTAGCCAAAGTTAGTTCATTATGCTTCCCTAGCCTGTCGAAGATAAGAAAATAAAGTAAAGGGAAAGGAGAAGTTACATTTATAAGTCCCATAAATATGATAAAATCTGCTTTAGGTAACATAACTGTTAAATAATTAAATTCATGATTTGGAGAAGTGCATCATTGTGTTTGTTCAACGAGAAGGAGAGGGAAAAATCGTGCTCTCATGAGATAGTTTTTTCAGCGCAATTTATTTTTACTTCTTGCTTCTTTAAATGTTATAAGAGTAGATGAACAGACACCCAATGAGGACAAAACAGAAGTGCTTTATACTTTAGTGAAGCTCTTCAAGGTGAAAATAATGGAGAGGTAAGCATCTATAAACACAAAATTATAAAAATATCGAAAATGCATATAAAAAACTTACGCGAGATCAGTTGGAAGCCTGAAACCACCTATGCGAACACATTTCAGTGCATGAATCTGAGAGAAGTAAAGAAATTAGGAAAATGAAAGGCATGACAGAATCCGCTTAATGAAGTCAAAGCACAATTCACAAAGTGAACAAAATAAAGTAATAATGTTTGACGTTGATACTTGTGAATATATATCACTAAACTGTTGTTAATTGCCAAGATTTGAATATCTATTGATGAAACGTAGCTTAAAGAATCTAACAGAACCGGAATTTTAATATTACACTTCGTCAAATTGTAAACATCAAAATATGATTTGTCTAGTGCCTGTTTGATTTGGAATAGTAACTACGACAAGTCAACAATCAATTCCCAATACTTTCAAGCCATCAGCTTCACCTTTGCATCTGTGACCTTTAACTTTCACTAAATGATTCAATGACCGATAAAAGGAATAGTTATGTTTTCCGATTGCATATGTGACCTTTAACTTTCACTAAATCAATTCCCTGCCAGACTACTCAATTGCAAAGATGATCCCCCTGTAGCAGTAGCTTCTATTGTTGTAGATATCTTTATTTTGGTTGATTTTCTTGTGTGTTTGTTGTGGACAAAGGTGTCGGTTAGTCTATATTGTTCTGGTTGTGATTTGGTTTGAAGGGGTAACTGTGTTGATCTCTCATTCCCTTGCTCTTGATCTTTGTAGATTAAGTAGTTGCTGGGTGTAATAGCCAATTTCAAGACTGGACTATGTGACCTTTTTATTGTTAATGATGTATGTGGGATAAAGAATTGCATAGGACCAAAAAATGAATAGGCAATGAAGAATGAACTAGGTAAATTGTTGACATGTTTTTTATGTTTTTTTTTGTAGGACCTACTTCTCCTATCTCACTTATCTCTGCCAAGAAGGGAGGGGCAGCATTCAAACCGTGGATATGTCTCATTTGTGCGAAAGAATCGACAACGAAAAACAATAAGAAGCGGTTGGATCCAAAGTATTGGCAATTAATTAGTTACGACATGACTCAAAAAAGCTTTATATGAGAATGTGACGGATGATTTTCTTTTTGTTTAAGGGCTTGAGAGAAATTAATTAGTAGAATCTTTCTTGTTATGTATAATTGCCTTGCCAATAGTTGTATTATGTTAACAGAAATTTTATGAAATATTTTATTTATGACTTATTTTATTTTCATCGTTCGATCAATATACATCCGTCTATCCATTCACACGAGTGTACTTTGATTCAAATGTGAAAAACTCACGGACTTGTACCGTTGGATTAATTGCTTGCAACTTTCTATATGTATACACATGACAACTTGTAATGAAAAAACTATATTTTTTTTTTTTTATTATTATTATTGCAACTCTTTTCTCGGAACAAAGTAGTTATAATGCATGCATACAATTCTCCATAGAGTACAATGCAAGTCTTATTAAGCGAACTTGTCATTTAATTAACATCGAAACAAGTCTTCAAATCGATAAACTGAGTCCAAATCAAATCGGTAAACGAGTTGTCTCTCAATGTAGCCTGAAAAAAAAAATCGACATTAAAAACACTAAATTACAACTTGATGAACAATAAAAGTGTACAAAAATTCTATGAAGCCATCGAATGGTTTTCTTATGGAGCCATCCACCACTTAATGTATTGACAGCTGTCCAAAGTATATTAATTGTAGGATATGTGTCAATACACTATTGGTGAATAAGTGTGGATGGCTCCATAAGTCGAGCCACCCGATGGCTCCATAGCAAAACTGTAAAAGTATATTTCATTTTGTTTAGAAAGATTCATATATACAAGATAAAATTCGACAATCTTATATGTCTTACTTTTCGCAATCGGTGTTGATAGAGACACGAAAACCATCTTTGATGTTGCAAGCTGTCGGGATTCGACTAAGGAACTTGTCCTGAACCCCGGAAAAATTCTTAATTGCGGCCTTGAGACACCTACAAATTGCTTTTTTATCGTTGACCGTTTTCACGCTATGGGCCAATTGTTGCAGTCCGGCACAACAAGCTCCCGAAGGCTTTGCATCTTTCCCGGTTGCATACATGATGCAAGAAGTAGCTTTCACATCCACTGTGCCACATGGAACGACTGCATTGGTCGAACGAGCAATGCAGAAGGCCAAGCACAGGACAATTAGAATGGACAAGGAAATGCTACTCTTCATATTGTTTTAGGATTGATTGATTGATTGATTATTCAATTAATTTGTGTTTTTTGGAAATTAGAAATTTGTATATGTTAATTGAGAATGACTTTGGTTGGTTGTTGATTGGGGGTTATATAGAGAAGAGTCGAAAAACCGGATTTTGCCATTTTATGTTATTTCAAATGTATGAACTTCGAATACATTTATATTTTATATTCAATTACATTAATCTAAATTATATCTATCTTTTTTTCTCTAATTAAGAAGATTAGTTCTACTTTTTATAATTTTCGTGTTTTATTATGGGAGACAATGATAAAGATAAGAGTCATTGTTGACAATTCTCCTGGCATAGTGTTAATAAAGGACTAGATCAAAATGGTTCAATTAAATTCTAGTGCTTCTTTTATTAGTGAAGTTTCAGAAAAAAAAAAAATATATCAAACGGCGCAATGCACCTTGGGTCGCTACAGAAACAGCCTCCTTGTATAATTACAAAGGTAAGGTCTGCGTACAACTGACTCCCCAGACCCCAACCTGAATATACTGAGTATGTTGTTGTTGTTGTATCATGGGAGACTGAGTGAAACCATAAAGCTTGCCCTATGTTAGAGTTAGACCTCAACATATTTATTGAATATTTATTGAATTTTATTTTATTTTATTTTATTTTCAAAATACAATCGTTCAAAATATAATCATAAGAGCCAACTTAATCCTTCTCTCCAGGAGATGAGGGAACCTGGAAGAGCCGCCGACTCCAATTAAACCATCCGTAAGTATGTTATAAAAAAAAAATATATATAATTTAATAATTAATACAAAAATAATCCAATAAATCAACATTTGAAAATTAGTATATATTTTTGATTAATTTTTTTTTTATTTTTTGTAAAAGTTCAAATAAAAAGCACAAATAATTTTTCCCAATATCCATTCGCAATATACTCAAGACTAGTTTTATCCCGTACATTTGCACGAAAAACAATGTAATAGAAGAGAAATTAATTAAAAATATAGAATAAAATAAATATCATAATTTAATAAATGGGAAAAAAATAATTTTAAAAAGTGACTGCAATAAAAAATAGAGATATTTGTAGTCATTTTTAATTAGTTGTGAAATATGTATTTATATAATACCAAAAAATATATATTATCAAAATAAAAACAAAAATATTTTGTATTTCAGGACATAAAAAACCGTTGGAAGCATCCAAAATGGGATCTATCAAAATAAATTGTGTAACTGAAAGTAACATATTATCATGAACATATTTTTATTAAATGCCACATATTTTTATTAAATGAACTAATATTAATATTAATTTAAGACTGAAATAAAATTAAATGAAGCTTGCCAACAATATAGATTGGACGAGTAGGTTATGGTTCACAGGGGAATTAACATAACTGACCCAGTATGAAAAAACAATTCCATGAAATATACTGAATGTTGAGAATTCCATTAATCCCGCAGTTAGTTACATTTAGATAACCACCAATAAATAAAACAAAACAATACAAAATATAAATATTTCAAAAAAATAAGTGTTCATCTCTCCTATCCTCTCTCTCACCTCTCTCTCTCCTATCCTCTTTCTCCTTTTTTCACGATTAGCTTCTTTTTCTTCTTATTTTCTCTCTCACCTCTCTCTCTCTCCTATCCTCTTTCTCCATTTTTCACGATTAGCTTCTTCTTTTTCTTGTCTTTTTCTTCTTCTCCATCTTCTTCTTCTAAAAACATAAAAAAAACAAAGTCAAAACATAATTTTCTTTTCTGTTTCTATATAATAAGATGCATTCCAAAAAGATGTCACTAAATCATAAGAAAATTTCACATAATCAATAAATATAAAAGTTAACATAAGGCGTGAATCAATAAAAAAATAAGCAATGAGAACCATTCTGTCGAAAAAGAAACCAGAAAAAAATAACATAACAATATTAAAAAAGCAACATGAAAAGAACTTTAAATCAACATGAAAACAACTTTAATTTGGCCACAACACACTCAATCATCCAGAGAAAATATGATTCTTATACTCAATAATGCAGGATTCTGGAAAATATTTCAAAATTTCTTAGCCATATTATATTTTTCAAACAAGTTTAATCTCCAGAAATAAAATTACCTACATATTCCCATAAAACAAACAATTCACCTCATGGTGGTTCTTCTTCGACGACAACATAGGTGACATGGGGTCTTGCTGGCCATGGAATTTCAATAAAAAGAACATATATGAAAAAACATATTTCAAAAACTAATCAACAAGAAAATCTTCGATTTCTCAAGAAATAAGGGTTCAATCGGCTTGAAAATTAGGTTCGACTCAAGGTAAGAATCTGAGATTATAAAGGTTCGGCTCTACAAAATTTAAATCGAAACTTGGAGCAATATATATTAATTGAACTTGAATCCCTACCTTTCGCCCAAAAATCGAAAATCGGAAGTCTGCACTGAGTCGTCACGCCCGCGGCTGGGGCACGCCGGCGCCACCACCGCCCGCCACATCCTCCCACCTCCCGTCAACGAGAATCAAATTTGTCATTATTTTAGGCCCCATCCTCTGTACATAAATCGAATAATAGTAGCTTATTCACAAAGCGCAAGCAAGTAGAACATCCTCAGTGCAAATAAATGAAAGAAATTCAAATGCTTAACTTATGATAGGCTGGGTGGTTTGGATAGATGACGATGTTTTGATTTTTTGAATTTCTACCGCAACCCTAATTTAATTGATGGGAAGAACATAAAAAGAATTTTGGGTTTTTCTTGAGTGTATCGTGTTAATTGGGAAATTAAGAAGGAGAAGAAAAAAAAGAGAGAAAACAAAGATGGAGATTGGAGATGTTCTGCGAGAAAAAAGAAGGAAAGAAGAAGAAAAAAAATGTGAAAAAGAAAGAGAAAAACGTGGACATATGGATAATATCAAAACAGTTTAAAAGTGACTTTTAATAAACTCCTATTATCACTCGACCATCATATCCTCACAGCTTTTTTAGCTAGTCAAATCAAATCTGCTGCCAACTGCCAAGAATTGGTCAAAATACATGAAGTTATTTTTTTTAACTGTATGTAACTGCCTTATCTGTAAATCAGTTTATATCAAATAGTACTATTTTTGTATCAATTTCATTTTCAATATATTTATTCAATTAGCCAAAACAAAAAGCCATTTAACCAAAAATCAATTTCAGTTGGTTTGACCAAATGAAAAAGGTAAACTCCCCAAAAAAGTAGATTCTTTTCAAAACGCTATTAAACAAATTAGGTTATTTCAATCATAAAAATAAATTAACAAATTAGGTTATTTCAATCATATAAATTCTTATCAAAAAGCCATTTAACCAAACATCAATTTCAGTTGTTTTGTTACTACTCAAGTTTGAGAAAGTGAAATAATTCAACAAATTAGGTTATTTCAATCATAAAAATAATTATTGTTGCATTTAGATAATAGATTCATATTTTAATTATTTGCATTTTGTATAAACAATAGTGAACAAAAAGATGTCATTTCATAGTATATGTACGGTTTTTTTATTCATATAGTACGTCGAGTCGATCTGCCTAATTACTATATTGCATCGTACAAGAATATATTACACATTCATTTCATTCTTGCAGCCGAAAATTTCAACACTTATTCAGACAATACTTTATTTTGACTTATCACTTGAATGTTTCATGACTTTATCAACTATTTTTTTTTTGGGGATGTTATATTTAATACCAATAATTTATATTAATATTTTACTATTTTTATATGGCACCGACTTTTAACTAGTTATTTGATTCAATCTAATACTAGTCGAAATCCGAAAAATAAATTCATTTTCTATGAAGAGAAATCCAAATTTTAATCACATTTTCAAGTGAAATAACAATTTTTAGAATAATAAATCAGTTTTAATTTGTTTGGACAAATAAATTAGAACGTTAATAAGCCTTCCAGTTTGTCCTTTCAGTTGGCGAATTCAGTTTAGCTATAAATCACATCTGGATAATAATAATAATAATAATAATAATAATAATAATAATAATAATAATAATAATAATTTGCCAAGAACATCTACTCAATAAACTCATCATAAATCAATTTCCTTTTCTTGCAAACAACCTAACACAACAAAAGTAATAAACAACAAAAAGAACCAAAACACACACACACGCACACACACATTAATAATATGAATCAAAATTTCAATTTCTTGACTTGCTCCATAACATGAGCCCTCCCCTCAAAACCCTTCTCCTCATTGGCCAATCCTCGCACGAATTCACTCGGGACCATGCACCTTCCCGCACCGTACAACTTCTCCTGAACCAAACACGACCCCAATAGACCATTCATCTCCTCATCACTCTCATACACCTACAACAAAACAAAATTAAATTCACATAAAACAAAATATATATATATATATACATATATTTGTCTCTATTTTGCTGGAGATACATACATATTTATATTTTTTCATCTTCTCATATGAGCCCATGAATTCAAGAACCCCGACTTGGGCCCGCAAAAACTCGATGTACTTATACGCGGCCCGAAACATCTCGGCCGTGTTCATCCGGTGGGCCCCTGGGACGAGATTCCCGAGTTCACGCGTTTTCTCGCTTATTCTCCTCCGCCTTTCTCGGGCCACGACGCTTTGGGCCGACGGCGGCGGCCCAATAACCTCATTCGCAGCCTGAATTGCGAAACCGTGGGGCCCGTTTAGCTCGGGTTCGAATAACACTTGCTTGTAGCGCTTCGGATGATGCGTTTCTTGAGGGTCGTAACTCGATTCGAATGCAGTACTATTAAAGTTGTTGTCGGGAGAGAAAAGAGAGTCGAAATAGTTGGGATCGAAGGAAAACGGGTCGTTGAAGTCGAAGAAATAATCGGGCAACGGGTCGAAGTTATAATCGGGCACGGGTTCGAGTTCGGGTGTTGGAAAGTTGTAGTAGTGGCTTAGAGCCATGGTTGAAGGGAATGAACTAAAGTAAGGACCGAACGGCATACTGTCTTTTCGCACTTGTCCAAGAAAAGAATAGCAGGACGACCAAATTCAGGCGGAGAAAGAGCTAAAGTAATGTTTTACTATAATTAGTAGATAAGTTGGAGGGAAAATTGAAATGTGTGTGAAGAGGTTTGTGTACCTTAATGAAGAATTATTTAACAAGAAACTACCAACAAAGAGACTCGAGAGAGAGAGAGAGAGAGGAGGTTATGGGACTATGGGAGGTTAATAAGATAAATTATGGAAGTAATAACGGGTAACTAATTCCGAAGTACGAGGAGGGAAGGACACGTGGCCTTTTAGGGTTTTTTGTTTTTACTTTCTTCCAAGTGGAATTAATGACACCCCTTGACTCTTTCCATGGAGAGTTTACATAATTATGCCTAATTATTATTTAGATGAAATTAACTCTTCTGTTTCCATTTATACCTTTTTTATGGACGATTAAAGGCTTTTAAAAATATGGCGGTGGTTATTTTTTTTTTATTATTTTTTTTTGTAATTGGTACAACTTCCATAATGTCTGTCAGTTTTAGAGAAAAAAACCGTCCGAAACTTTTTCATATTTTTTCCTCTTTCTTCTTAGGCATTCATTTTTCTTTTTGCTGATGTAGTTGGTTTTTTTTTATGTTCTTCGTTTTCCATGGTTTTAACTCGTGCTGCAGATCTAAAATCTTCATATGTGATGAATAAATTCAAAAAAAGAAAAGGTTCTGTCAAACCCAGTTCTAGTATTCGTGAGTTTAAAAAAAATAAAATCCATGGCAGAGGGAAAGATCTAAGAAACGTCGAAAACTCCTCGAGAAACTATTCTCCCAAATACAAAAGCTCGAGGAGCAAATTAAATGGAATCCGAACTCACCCCACGCAGTCGAGCCTTCAGGTGGCCCTCTCATCATTTTAGAGAAAGGAAGAAAACCTTAAGGGGGAATGGGATGAATGTGTTGCAGTTGTCCGATTTGAGGATGAAAGCGGTCAAGGATAACACTTTCCTCTCATTCAATACCGTCGCGAAATTCTCAACTAAATTAATTGAGTTTGATGTTTAGGTATGTGACTCAATTTTCTAGCAGCCGGGTTGTTCTCTGCAATTCGGAGGTCAATATGTGTAATCTGCAATTCGAAGTGAATTGTTCGATACATGAGGTTGGGGTTTTGTTCGTGACGTTCGGCGACCCGGGCTCTTTGGCGGCAATCGGTGGGGTTAGGATTGCAAGCAAGATCCGTATGCGGTACAGAAATGCTCTCCAAATGTTTTCATCCATCAAAACAAAATTTATGGAACAATATGAGAGTTTTGTGTTTTGGTGTATTGCGTGATAGATTGCAGAGAAGGGAATATGTGTGTGCTGGGTAGATTAGCTCATGTATTTTATTTTGGTTCATATGTGATTTTTTGGTGTATTTGATTTTTTGTTTTGGGCATTCATTCCGACAAGAACATAATTTTTTTTTTTGGTTTTGTTCTAAATTGAGTTCAATTCTTCTTGTTGTTTTTTAATTACTTTATTATTTTTTTGTGGTTGTCAAGAGACAAATTCTTAGTTGTTGTTATGTATTTGTTTTCAACATTTCAATCAACTACGTTTAATTTCTGGAAAAAAAAAACTACATTTAATATTTTATTGTTAATAGAAAGTTGTTTTCATGTTGCTTCATAGATGTTATAATGTTTTTTTGTCATTGTTACGACACTCACTATCTTGTTTGTTGTTTTCTTAGTTTTATTAATTTATTTTAAGTTCCACTAACAAACATTTGTGCTTTTTTTTAATTAATTTAATTATTATGTATGTTTATAACTTATTCATTAACAACTAAAGCAAACAAGATCCCATTTAATCTTTTAAACGAACAAACGACCATCGCCATAAAAATCAAGAATAAATTAGAAATTATAAATAGTTATTTATGCAAATTATCCAGTTTATCAATCTATAAAAATCATGATACAATTCGTTTTCTCTCTTAAATAAATAAGCAAATCGGCATTTAGAAAACAAATAAATAAAATATAAAATGAACAACTGCTATTTTTCTAAAATAAATAAATAATCAGCATTTAGAAAACAAATAAATAAATAAAATATAAAATGAACAACTACTATTTTTTTCTTTGGTTGACGACATTGAATAGTTTTACCACCTATCTAATAATTCGTTAATAATAATATTTTTTTGTATATTTTGTTTTTTATTGTAGGTACTAATTTATTTACAATTTTTTTTGCACAATTCTCATTTTATACAATTTTTAGAATCAGTTCTTTGTGAAAAGTAAATAACTATGACTAAGAAACACATTCTGTTAAAATAAATAAAATTAGATGTTAATTTTGTTAATGAAAAAGGTGGTTAATGGAGAGAGAAAGAGGGTGACAGCTTGGGGAAGTTAGTTAAAGGGACTACGGTTGGAGATGAATTAAGATAATTTTGGAATTCTACAGCAGGCACTGCTTCTTAAGAATTCAACTTCTTAAAAGGGACAGTTATGGATTTTCGCCCTTGAAAGTGTTATAAATTTGTCATTAAGCGTGGGGCGGATTGGCGGCTGAATGGGCTTGATACGATACATGGGCTTGATTGTTGGGTCGGTGAGTAGTTACTGTAGCTTTCCATGAATAGTTACTTTAGCTTTCGATCGATCCATTTACATGGGATAAATAATTGGTACATTGGAGTAATTTTTGTCATCTATGTCAATTTGGAAAGGTTATTGTCATAATTTATTTGTATTTATCAAATTACTTTTTATCTTGAGGTGAAAATTTGAATACATAACCAATTTTAATGGCATTTGTAGATACATATTGGTGGGTCTGTCTTACAAAGGTAATTCTATTTAAATGTATTAATAATAATTAATGTGAGTATGTGTTTAAATGAAGAAAACGAGTGTGGATGTCGTTCTGTTATTAACTAACAACGTTGAAAAAAAAATATTATTATTTTATGATATTGGCAATCTGTGATGCAATAGAGGTCACACACTTGAACAATTTTGCGTACGAATATGAATTGATCGGTTGACTTGGGTGTTGACTCGGCCGGATACAGTTCATTATGTATTTATTTCTTATAGGTAATTTTAGTTAAAGGAATAAAATTTATTTGTAAATGTTTATGCAGAAAATATTTATGATGAGGCAGAATATAATTAAGATTTTTAAATGATAAGATTTACTTTTAAAATATACATTATTAATATTTTAAGATTCTTTAATTATAATAATTACGATGAGGCGGAGTATAATTTCAATCGATCTACTGAATTGATTGTTCGACCATTTGTTGGATCGACTCAATCGGTTCTCTTTTAGGGAAACTTCGACAACATGTTCTCCCCGAACAAGTTGTTCAACAAGTAGCTCGACTTACTCAGCTTCTTGAAACGGAAATCAAACTACACGAAATGCCGACGCTATTATTTGGGTCGGGAGTTTGTTTGATGAAATGGTGGAGCATCGAAAAAATCCGGTTCGTGTTCACTCGTACGATGGAACCATGAATCGGATTCACGAGACATCAACACAAAATGTAAAAAAATGTAGTTAGTTTAATTTTCAAGACTATCGAGTAAACTTTCAAAAAGAGTTTTCCTTAAGTTGCCATGACATGTGTTGTATTCATGTGTTTGTTATATTTATCTATGATGCCTTTTCAATTAAGACTAAAATAAAGTAACACTTGCTTGATAAGTATGGTGTTTCTTTTTTTTTTTTCTTTTTTTTTTCCT